GCTTGTTTTTTAATCTTTTTTAGGACTGTTGAGTACGTACTTTGAAGAAACAAAGTTGAATGTTCTCAGTGTGTACGATGAAGGCTCGGGTACATGGCTGAAGATGCCTTTAGCATGGGAGCTGTATGTACCAGACGTGAGGTCACGTGTCGCGTCCATTCAAGAGGCTTTTCCAGACTGGGATGACCAGTTTGAGATTCTTGCGTTACTGAGGCAGTGCAACTATGACCTCGACGAAGTCACTAACACGTACATAACGCTGCTAACGGACGATACCGCTGGCAAGAGGGTGGCGTCAAGACTTAAGGGCAGCTCGGGCTCAAGTAAAGAACACGCAGCGGAGATTGAACTTTTGAGGGAGAGAATTGACCAACTCGAGGAACAGCTCCGAGAAAAAGATTCTCAGTTGCAAGATTCTCAGAGAGCGAACGCGGATTTGCAAACCAAGTTGAGATCATCCGAAGAAATGGCTAGAAAGCTTCAAATCAAGGGCACGAGCTTACAGCGAGAAATACAACAGCTGAAGTCCGCGCCAGTACAACCGCAAATGTCTATTCCAATTCAAACAGCTCCTGCTACTAAAGAGCGAAAGATTTCCAAAGATACCTGTCGAAACGTCAGGTCGACTGTACAGGTCTTTTCGCAGATGCTGGTGGAATTAAGGAATTGTTTTACAAGCGAAATGGAAGACATTGCTTTAGTTTTGGGTCAAGCACAAAGCTCTTTGCGTAAGATGAAGCTAATGGACCAAGGTTCTAGCAAGGAGATCATAGAGCTGCGTGCACTCTACCACAGGGAGGTACTCCAACGAAAACTTCTCTACAACAAGCTTCAAGAACTTCGCGGCAACATCAGAGTATTCTGCCGGTGCCGTTACGATCCAAATGCCGACAATGTGTTGAACTTCACCTCAGATCAGGACTTGAGTTTGGTGTCTGCTCAAGGACAGAAAAAGTCGTTCAGATTCGATCGAGTCTTCTCTCCGTCCAGTACGCAAGAGGAAGTCTTTCAAGATACCCTTCCACTCATTACGTCATGTGTTGATGGTTACAACGTCTGTATTCTAGCGTATGGCCAGACAGGTATGCTCGCTTTCTTCTATGTACACTACTCAAATAAACAATAATAAAATAATAAATTGCATTATTTAGAGAGGAAGTCACATCAGCCTTAGCTGGTTTTCACGCCGGTCCTCTATCCTGGTCCAATTGGAATTTGGAGATGTCGGTTTTTCTGGAGGGCGGAAAATCGGAGAATCTGGAGAAAAACCCTCGGAGCAAGGCCAGAACCAACAACAAACGCAACTCACATATGGCACCGGGCCGGAATCGAGTCCAGCGCTCTCACCACTGCGCCATCCCTTGCCCCCTACTACCCTCTTTTATTTTTGTACGAACGTCTTATTTTCGGACGGAGATTGAATGTTTTTAGTTTTTTTCTTTTTGTGCCATCAAGTCACGGTTACCATATCCAGTCGTTGAAGTTTTTGTTAGTTCTGTTTTAACTTCCAAAGGGACCGAATGAAAACATACAGGCAGCTATACAGCCGAAGATGTGCTACTTTGAACCATACAAGAACATTACATGCTCAACGTTTATGTTTAAGTATGCCCCTAAAAGGATTTGGTTATTGAACTGCATAGACTTAAGTTTTGCATTTTAACAGAGTTCATAATTTTCTTTCAGAAAGTTGTCAAAATAAACTTCCTCTAGTGACCCAAATAATCTCAGGCTCAACTTTCGTATATAAAAAAGGCTCATACAAAAACGAAATATTGAGTGTACTGCACCAGCTCATTCGGAAGTCTCCTATTATAGTTCACTTAATTTTATTTTCCAGGGGCAGGGAAGACTTACACCATGATGGGAACAGACAAAGACCCCGGCGTCAACATCCGGTCCATTCTCGAACTCCTCCGAGTTTGCGACGAGCGAAAAAACGTGGATTATTCCATGTGTGTTTCCATGGTAGAGGTTTATAACGAGACGGTTAGAGACCTGCTGAGCGAGAACAGCAGTTCACAACAACTGAACATTCAAATGAGAAACAAACAACTTGTTGTCACCGATGTCACTGAGGTTGATGTTAAGTCGGCAGACGATATCAAAAGCATAATGCAGAAAGGTAAGGACTTGTGTTGATCTACGTTGATCCACAACGCCACACAGAGCGATGAACACACTGCGAGCACATGGGACGACAACACATGTACTAACCAAATATACCGCTGGACAATGTCAGCCCCAGGGCTCTCACGACCATACGACTGTTGCAAACGCTACAGAACGCACCAAACGCTAAACAAACGCTAACAGATGGCCAAGGCACTAACAAACGCCTACAAAAACGCTACTGACCAGACTNNCTCCTGGTCATAAACTATGTAAAATTTCATTGAACTATATCAAACGCTACAAAACGCACCAAACGCTAACCAAACGCTCACAGACGGCCAAGACACTAATAACCGCCTATAAAAACGCTACTGACCAGACTAGCTCCTAGTCGTTAACTATGTTAAATTTCATTTAACTATATAGAGATATCTGCACATACTGTTAACTAAGCTTGTCTCAAAGTCATGTCACAGTAAGCAAAAATTACTGTTACCTCAAGCACAATACAGCGAATTCGCGTGACAAATATTAGCCACTGTTTTCATGTTTTCGTTAGCGAGTAAAATTTTCGTTAGCGAGGAAGATTCGATTTCTCGTCGGGTGCTTTCAGAATGTTTTTGACACAAAATGTATTTTTTCCGTCGACTAACGATATTCTCTTATTGGTGCTTTCAGGTGACACGAATCGTTCCGTGGGCGCCACCAAAATGAACACAAACAGTTCCCGCTCTCATTTACTTCTTCTCCTGAGAATCCAGGGCACAGACCACGTGACCAATGCCATCACGCGCGGCACGCTGACCCTGGTAGACCTTGCAGGCTCAGAGAGGATTTCTAAGACCGAGGCTACTGGACAGAGGTTGGTCGAAGCGGCGGCCATTAACAAATCACTATCAGCCCTCGGCCAAGTGTTTGCGGCCTTGCGAACAAATGCAATGCACGTGCCTTACAGGAACTCCAAGTTAACGCAACTGATGCAGAGTTCCCTCGGGGGAGACGGTAAGGTCTGTATGTTCGTCAACGTCAGTCCTCTTGCGAGTAACCTGAGCGAGACCGTCAGTACGTTGCAGTTTGGGTCAGCGGCAAAGCAAGTAGAGCTTGGAAAGGCTACACAGAACGTCACTCAAGCGCCAAAGAGAAACTAACCGAAATCTGTCCTGAACTTAACTGAACTGTAAGGTAGATAAGCTGTAGGCTGGATGAAAGCTGAAACAAATTGCCATAATATGACTTATTATCCCTGCCATAAATTCATAGGATCTATAGGGGTGGGGGGATAAGTTATTTTTAACGACACAAGTCCAAAGCATTGGATTTTAATAATTTATTATTCCTTCCATATGTAGGGATAGAGTATTTCTATTGACGTTAGTCCAAAAGCGTTGGACGTAAATTATTCATTATTGTTACCATAGATAGGGGAAAGAGAATTTTTATCGACTTAAGTCCAAAAAATTTGGATTTAAGTCAATTTAATAAATTATTCAAGTAATGCGATAAAAAAAAAGAAAACATGCAACAAACACACATACAAAGAAACAAATAAATACAATTATAAAGGAATTGGACCACGTCAATGGATTTTTGTCTTCCAAGTGCTTTTTAATCATTATACATAAGCTTTGAGTTAGAAAAAAAAAGTGAAGGAAGCCAAAAGATCTAATGTGTGGTTATTAACTGGTCCTCTTTCATCATCATTAGAATCAAAGTGCATATAAAGAAACAACTACAATTGTGCATAAGAAACAGTGTGTTTTAGTGAAAATTGTCCCAAATTTGAGTCTTCTTTGCAATCGAATCGAATCACGCTTCTCTAGAGGACCATAAAACGTTTATTTTATTAAAGAGTTTAAATGCAAGAGAATAAGTTGACCTTGCCCCTTCATAAAACAGTAATTTCTAAATTTCGACAGTGTTTATATGACAGGGCAATGCTATGTATTTTACTAATATATTATTAGCTGATATTGTGTATTAATAAAATTATCAAAATGGCTTTATACAACGTCCGTCTGTTTGCTGTTTTGGGATGAAAAGGTGTTGCAAATATGGACTTACTAAATGCGTCTCTGCTCCCTGTTCGCTCCCTAAAAGCCGAACGTATCGCTAGGCCTTTACACATTCTGCCGGCAGAATTTCGAGCATAATAGGGCCTCAGTAGCAGAAAATATAATTGGGGCATAATCCGAGCAGAATGGGCCATTTTTGGCAATTTTGGATATTCTGGGGCCTGGGGACGGGTCTGAGAGAGAGCTGGACACGAGCATCCGAGCGAAACAAGATGGCGGAACCAAACCCGGAACTGGTAGAAGTCATTGACCATGACGAAGGACAAGAACCACAAGAAATTACCCATGTTAGTTTTAAGGATTAAATAATAAATGCGCTTATGTTGGCATGGTTTAGCCTCACCCTGGATGGGTGAAATAATGTCTCATTTTTCATGTTTCAGTATTTTGAACCCAGGAATATTGATTTTACAGAATCATAATTCGAGCATAATAGTACTTCTGGGGTACCCTGCGAGCAGTTGGTTTCTCCTACGCCGAACGAGAGAGAAACCACTTCAAACCGTCTGCTTTTCCTTCGAGCATGCGCGAATTCGTCACGCCACACGTGATGCATTTGACGTCAGATCCATTTTTTTGTACACCGGTCCAAAAACACCGACAAAAGACGCCCCAGACCTTCGTCGAAGTGTCAGATTTATTATCAAGTCTGTGGTGTTAAGCCTATAGGTTTTCTTGCCCTCTCTCGTGCGGGATTCCTGAGCTCGTTGAACACAATTATTACCCCAAGCAACAATACGATTTTAACTGAGATAATACGATCGAAGGCGGTTTTGTAAAGCCTGTTTCAAGCGACTGACTCCAAGCACTAGAGGAAGAACTTCCAGCGATGAACAGCACAGTCTCGAAGAATTATGAAACGTCTTTCAACGTCGTAACCCAGATCGTAATCGTTCGCAGTGGAGTTGGACTTTGATCACTACACAGTGGGCTCGCGTAAACACAGCAGTTATGTTGTTGAGCGCATGGGTGCGAGCCTAAGCCTTTTACCAGCTCAAAGTTGACTTGTTCCTCCATGGCGGTAGACGGCGGTTTATTCGAACGAACGGTTGCTCGCACTGGTTTCTCTCTCGTTCGGCGTAAGAGAAACCAACTGCTCGCAGGGTATTTTTGGGGACAATTCTTTTGAGCAGAATAGCCTTTTGTTCGAATAATAACAATAACGATAATGATAACGATAACGATAACGATAACGATAATGATAATGATAATGATAATGATATTAATAATAATAATAGATATTTCTATGGCGCCTATCGAGAACTGTTGTAATACAGATTACAATGAAGAAAATAAATTAAAAATTCTTTCTAGCTAAAATAATAATTACAGGGTTACATTTCCGTGTGCAACGCAGGCTTTTAAAGCCGTTATTGAACAAGTCTGTTTGATCAAGATGGCTTGATATTGGCCTCGATTTTTGTTTCTCCATTTCTTATTTAGTTATTATTGTTATTATTTTTTTGGTATACTGGGTCTCGGTCTGTAAACACGCAAAAAAGATAAGTCGACTGTGAGAGGTGTCCAGGGAAGAGGTTCGGCAGCTTCACTGCGTTAAAACAAGTAAGTCATCAACTGGCGAATTTTGTTGTACAAAGGCTGAAATTTTACCTGACGGTAAAAGAGCGATTTCGAGCTTGGATTAAACCTAAGAGCTTTTAAACATGTTTTTTATATAACCCGGTCTGTATTGGCACCTGCAATTTAGTCGAGAAAATAAGATATGTCTCTTTACTAATTTCCCTCTCGAAGTTCGTAGCGCAAACCAGCGAAAAGAAAAGTAAAAAGTTCCCTTGCGCAATCTGCACGCTTCAGTCTCGTTACCAGATCTCTCCTCGTCCCGAAGTCGCATGCATGACAGAAGGTGGAGAATCTCTAATTTCCGCCGGCTGTAAGTATCTCAAACCAATTTGTGGGAACAAGATGATTGGCCGAAAAACTGCGGAGTCCTTTGATATAAGCAATAACACGAAACCCTACCGTTACTCAGGCAGGCATAAGAGAATGATTCGATGACGTCAAAAAGACATCACAGAGGGCCGCTTTAGATGTTGCGCCCGTTTAAGAAATACTCAAAAACAAGCGAGTCGTTTCGATAAATGTTCGGTGCCGTGATTTGTTATTTGTTTTCTGACGGTTAGAAAGCTTTTCTACGCTCCCAGCCATTCCAGCTGTGAATAGCAAAATGAAATTTCGCCTTTCTGGGATTTTCACGGCGGGTTTGCTTTTAGTTTTATCAAGCCCTTACGGTGGGGTAGGCACGCATAGTGAGAACGTAAAAGAAGTGAAAATCGGAGTGTTGCTCCCGATGACCGGTTACTGGCCGATCGGCAAAACGTCTGCGTCCGCCATCACAATTGCTGTGGACAAAATTAACAAGGATCCCACGCTACTGTTGGGCTATAACATGAGTTTCTTGTGGAACGATTCGATGTGCTTGGCCGCCGAAGGACTGAACCAAGCGGTGGAGTTCCGCATCTCAGGAGTCGACGCCATCATAGGAGACGGCTGTGACATAATTTGTGAACCGGCTGCCATTTTAGCGGCGTCCTGGAATCTGCCCATGATCTCCTGGGGCTGCGAGTCAAGCAAGTTGTCAGAAAAGAGCATCTACCAAACGTTCGCGAGAACGGTGGGGTCATTTTCCAAGATGGGCGGCCTGTTTATGTCTGTTTTGGGTTACTTCAAGTGGAAAAGTATCGGGATCATTGCGTCCACGGAGAGCATATGGCAGCTGGCTATGAGTGGGTTGATGAAAGTCTTTTTGGAGAATGATGTTGATATCCGCTACATTCATACGCTGAATCCGGGACATGTGTTGGTCACAGAGCGAGAGGAGTACAAAAGCATGTTAGCGCTGGCCAAGGAAACAGCGAGAAGTAAGTCAACCTCTACATACCTGCCAGAAATGTTTCCAGTCATTCCTGATGTAAACTTCCTGATGTCGTATTCACAAAAACCCGGCGTTTATGGTCATTTAATTGTTGATCGCTCACTAAGTTTCCTTTGCTATGAACCACGTTGTTAGTGTTTTATTTTTATTTTTTTTATTTTTGTCAGAAATCGATTTTTGAAATATTGAACGAATTAATACTTTTTGCTAGTAGCTGGTATTTACTCGGAAAATCAAACTGGGCAGCGCCTCAATGCTTTAAAATGACGTCAATTACTTCAGTTACTTTTCTTGAACGACCTTCGACGTGAAAATGAATATGACGATTTTGACAAAATTTTATCAGGCAAAATCAAGCTGATTTAGATACCTCTTTGAAGGACCCTACAGGCCAACTAAGTGGACAAAAGGAAAGCTTCCTGGTTTTATAGCGTATTTTTCACTCTTCCCCATACTTTCCATGTTCTTGCTACAATGAAAGCAAAGCATTGAATTCTGTCATGAGCTGAATCAAAATCGAATAAAAACGTCCTCACTACGAGCAAGCTTTTTCTCCGCAAAAAGAGCGTAGAAAACACGCGAAAGAAAGAGTGGAGCAGGTTTTATAGATGCCATTTTCCTCACAGACTGCTTTTTAAATTTTCATTTCTTTACTTTTTTTTCGTTGTTGTTTCCATTAATTTTATACTACAGTCTTTATAATGCTGTGTTACGGCGGTGACATGCGCGCTTTGATGCTCTTCGCTCACGATCTGGGCATGCTCAATGGGGATTATGCCTTCCTTACTGTCAACCTATTGCCATCCGCTGCGATTGGTAACAACACCTTTATGGGGAATGACGGCAGAGATGCGGAGGCCGCCCTGGCGTTCAGAGGGATCTTGAGCATACACGTGAGAGAACCAACCACGGATCTTTGGAGATTGTTCACGAAGAATGTGAGACAGAAGATGAATGACTACCCTTTCCACATTCAGTTAGATGACCAAGAACAGGTAATTTCAGATGGGGAGAGGGGAGACGGTAGATAGGGCGGACAACCAGCAGGAAGAAATCATCAATTAAATATATAGAGGATTAAGTCCGCTATGCCAGACCGGCCGGTCAGAGACCAGTAGGACAAACCAAGGAAAAATGGAATGGCATTTGCCGATAAACCGGGACAACCAAGAGGAATAGCACTTACCATTTCCCTCTCCTCAATCCCCCCACATAAGTGAAAATCTAGCGAAGGGGAGAGTAGGGCAAGCAGCCGGGTAGCATGAACGACACCACAGTAAACTTGAAAGCTGTCTTGACTAATGATTATTATCAAGAGATCATCAAGGTAACTTATCTTGAAAGACTCGTGTGATTGTAACTTACATTTTTGCGACGTTGAATGAAAAACGCGCATGCGCACACACATACTGCAAAGAGTATGCCATAATCAAGGTTATTTCTGTTCATATCCTTCAAGGGGAAAAGCCCAAACTGACTAACAAGCCAGTACAGACTGGGCGTGACCAGGGGTGGCGACTTATTTGACTGCCATGCGTCAGTGCTCAGTACATTGGACTCTGCGTTACCTGAGATTGTCTCACGAGTTCGTTTTGTCCCAGAACTGTTCCAATAAGAGCTAATATGAGATCAAGAAGCTAAAAGGTCTCTTTTGTTTCTATGATCTTTTAATTTGTCCTTAAAAGCTTTAAATCGTTTCCATGGTTATCATGTTTTGAAGGTTGAAGTGTACGCTGGAGCCATATATGATGCCATTTACTTGTATGCCATTGCACTGAATGAAACTTTAGCAGCCGGAGGAGACAAGAAAGATGGACGAGCTATAGTGCACAGGATGCTCAACAAAGAGTTTGAAGGTACGTGTCCTGTGACACAAAAAAGTGTAGTACAAAAAATAGGTTTATACCGTGGCAGTATTATGCAGACGATGGTGTCTTTACGATCTTTGTTAATACATTGTCTTTTTGTTCTTTTTGCCGATCAAATGACAGGCAAGATATAAGTTTGAACCACATGACAATGCGGATCATTGTGGGTTTTTGAAAAGCGAAAATGAATAAATAGCGGTAGACGCATTGGCTTCATAGTTAGGGCTCCAGATTGAGTTGTCCGGGTTCGAGCCTGGTCTGTCGTCAGTACCGCGTTGTATTCACGGGCAATACAGGCATCTTTCCAGCTCCATCCAGGTAAAGTTAGAGAGGGGAAGAGGACTGAGATGGACTAGCATTCAACTCGGAGGGAGTAGACATTCGCAAAGTTGATTCTTATTACTGAAACCTGGTAAGCTCCCGTGCTAGGAGACCCTTGCTTCGATGAAGGCTTTTTAACCTTTTGCTGTTTTATTTTTTTAGGTGCCTCAGGAGCAGTGCGAATCGACGAATCAGGGGATCGCGATCCCGATTATTCTCTCAAATATTACGTGAACGGAAGTTTTCAGAACATCGCTGATTACAATCACTCCACGGGTGGCTTCAATTTAAGAGGTCATTTCTTAGATGAAAAGCAACATTGTTATTGCTGTTCAGTCTTAGGCTTTGTCCACTCTTTCGTCGAAGAAATTTTGCCAACGGCGTTTTCACTCCGAAAACGCATTATCGCACGTTTACCGTCCTGACACTGCGCAGAAGAAATTTGAAACCGCAACAATCACCAGTCACTTTGGATTTGATTTTGAGGAATACTCAGGCCGGGAAATCACATGATTATCGCAAATTCATGGTTTTCAAAAGCTTCGTTTTCAAAATTTTTCCGTCCACACTAAAACCTAAACCCGGCGTTTTCAAATTTCTCGGGTTTGAAGAGCGTTTTCCACTAAAAAGCCCGTTTTCGTAACCGATTAGTGTGGACGGTAGGTAGCGAGCACCCCTATCATTTTTTTTTTTAATTTATGCTATTATAATAAACTACTTTTAACTCTGGGGATGAAATAAAAGTTGTTGTTGTTGTTGTTGTCATAACCGTAGAGTTGCGATTTCAAATTTCTCCAGCGTAGTATAGACGGGGCCATGAATCTTTGGCTTAGCGTTTTTCCAGCGAGCCTGATTGAATTCAAAGTAAGTACAGCTCTACTTATTCACGTAATTAACGATGTTAATCAAGAAAGAAAACAAATAATTTGTAACCTTTGCTTAACAGATGTGAGAGTAATTTGGGCTGGAGGTCGTACAAACCCACCTCTTGACAAACCAAAGTGTGGATGGGAGAATGAGCTGTGTATAGAACAAGACAGACAAGGTAAGTATTCATTTAACAATACCTCTCTGTCGATATTGCAAAAGCGGATACTCTTAGTGCGAAATTACCCAGTCTATACTGAAACTGATGTTGTGCTACAGTAATATGTATACCAACACAAGTCTATAATGTAAGCATTATAAACTTCTGACGTCAAGCGTTGCTGGATGCTCGGTGGATTCTAAATTGTGGGTCGAGGTTATGGTAGCAGTGAATTTAATGCAGGGGGTAGCCCTACGATGGACCAGTATCTTATCCAGGGGAGAGGGGAGGGACTCCTAGTCGCTTCATGCTTAATGAAAACCGAGAAAAGTCACATGCAGGTGCAATGAATTTATAAACCGCTATCGCAGAATTGACCTTACTTTGCTCTTGTTTTAAATTTGATTCTAGCCACTATACACTTGGTCAAGGTCGTGATAGGAGCATCCACCGCTGGTGTGTTTGTGTTAGCATTTATGTTTTTCCTCATCATCAGGTAAATAATTTCCTTATATCACGGCATTTTTTTTGGATGATGTACCTTTTTGGCTCTCAATGTTTACGTTTGAAACAATTTTTTAGTCGGGGTAAATTTTTTCAAATTTCTGTAAGTCACGGTTCTTCTAAATGTCTTTTAGCTATCCATAATATTTTAACAACTTTTGTTGGACGAGGCTGAGCAAAGTATAGTAATTTGTCAATGGCGAGAAGATCAATTATTTGCCGAAACGGAAGGCTGGGCCGGGTAAATAAGTGATCTGTGAGACACTGACAAATCACGATATTTTGCAAATTTTTCTCCTTGACGAATGGGTATGTCTTACTTGTTTATTTGCAGGAAACTCCGGTATGAGACAGACTTGGCACAGAACGAGTCTTGGAAGCTTCGTTATGAAGATCTGCACATTCAGGACCCTAGCGGAACGGAACCAGAAGTTCAATCGCAACAGGGACTTCCGATTTTCAAGAGAGAGAAGAGGGCACCATTATCAGCTCGTCAAATTGCAGTAAAGTTCCATATCTGTTACTTTGTGTAGTTACATTGTCGTTATGTAAGCTACACTATTATATCTCTCAGTTACTATGCGCGCTGTGATTGGCCAATTTAACAGGCCGCCATTTTACTACGCAATCCGCTAAAATTTAATCTGTTTTTGTTGCCAAAATGTTTCGTGATTCATCTTGGACTAGATATTTGTTTTGATGAACACAAACACCATAATTCCCTGCTTGGTGGGGGGGTTGGGGGAGGGGGGCACCAAATTCTGCGTTCTCTGGAGAATCTGACCACGACGACTATTTTTTTAAAATTTTCTCCGTCGAATTTAACGCTTATTTTTATATTCATTCTCGAGAAAGTTACGACAAAGGGAGACAAACTAAAATGTTAATAACGTCTGTTGTCCAATTGATCATGGGTAAGAACTAGTGAAAATGCGAGGATAATTCGACATATTATATAATTGTCAATACTCTATTAGGTTCTTTCGTTTTTTGACTACGATATTTCGCTGGTAACGTTTATTCTGTGCCAGGGAATCGCGAAATAAAAATGACCATCCAAATCCTATCAGATCGCAAGATTATTTCTCGCAAATTATCGTCCTTCGTAGGAGGAAAAATGTTCAGTAATACTGTGTTTTATTCCACGCAAACACTCTGTGTCTTACAGCATACTGGAGGCATTCATGGCTTGAGCATAGACTCAATCAAAGCAAATACTTTCTCCAGTCCACTGAGTCAAGACGAGCAACCATCAGGGACCTCCAACTCACAGTGTGCAGCAAACACCGAACAAATATTCACCACCATTGGCAACTACCAAGTAAGACATAACTCTTACCAAGAGTTGGAAAGTGGAAAATACGAGCCATTTCTCTTTCCTTCTTCTGCTAGTTTGCTGATCGAGGTGCAAGATGCACACTGTTTTCCCCGATCGTTCTGTATGCCTGCACTTTTCGCATGCCAATCCAATCCCAAATCCCGCCACTATTTTCTCGCTTCCACCGAAATATTTTAATCCCACATTTCCCTTCATGTTTACTTTTTACTCTCATCCCGCATCTCGCATCCTGCTCTCAATCTTTTTTTGCTTCTCTATCGACGAATTAAAGAGAAGCTTTACTCGTTATGATTAAATGTATTGATAACAAAGCCCGCGGGATCGAACCCGTTATCATGTCTTTATCGATAATCCTACTTGGGAACTCGAAACGGCTATGGCCTGGACTCCTTAGTGATGAAAACCTCCTCAGATATCTGTTACGTGATCAATATAATCACAGAGGGTCAAAGAGAGCTTTCATAATCCGTATTTGATCAAAAACGGGCTGTTAGAAATCTAATCAGGGAAGCAATAACGTCACGGAAAAGGTCAAGAGAAAAGCTACGGTTAGGTAAACTCAAAAGGCAGCGGTTTTTTTTTATCTCCATCTAGAAAAAAAGGAAAAATTACACGTTTTGCGAATGACGGCTTAACAGTCATGAACAAAGGATGAGAGTACTTTGAATGAGTTTTGTTTTAAACGAGATCAACAAAAGTGTTTTATTCGATGGTGAGGGACTTGAAAGTTTGTTTATCTTTTGCATTGCACGATTTGCTTTGATTTTTATTTGTGTTAGGGTCGAACTGTAGCAATCAAACGCTTGAACAAGAAAAGCGTGCATTTGACCAGAGAAGTTCTTATACAGCTCAAACAGGTAATTTTCTCAGAGGACCCTCCTAAAAACCACCTTATGGTGATTGAAGGCTTCCTCTTAAAATATTATGTATTATTATTATTATTATTATTTTAATAAGCATTAATTTAAAATAAACATAAAATAAACATAAAAGAGCCCTCCCCTTCTCCCACTGACTGCAGGGACTCAAACATCAGACGAAGATGATGAATTACTGAATGATTCACGATCTGAGGACATTTTCCATTGAACAAAATCGTCAAATAAACAGTTCAGCGAGTGGCAACCTTGTACAAAATACTCTGACGCAAAGTGACGCGATCGAAAGTTACACACCTTATGACGTCACTAGTTCCAGGCCCCGTGAAACTTCACTTGAATTTTTTAGTAACTTTTGAGAGATTTAAATGTTATACGCGCCGGACCAGAGCTTAAATTGGAGAATTATGAATCAGTGGAACATAAACTTCATTTTTCTAGAATAAAACTGAAAAGGGACAAAAATTTCATTGCATAGCCACTTTAAGAACAAAGTCAACAAATCACCGTTTTGTGAAATCAAGCTTTTTTCACCCGTCTGATCAGTGATCTACCTGCTAACAAATTTTTCAGTAAATAGTATTTGACCAATCAGTGTGCGAAATAGATCAGGATTATTCTGTTAATTTACGTGTCTCTTTATGCTAAAGGTGCGAGACATTAGCCACGAAAACCTGAATCCGTTCATCGGAGCATGCATCGAGTCGCCCAACATTTTGATGGTTTGGTCGTACTGCAAGAAGGGGAGCTTACAGGTATTTCAATTCTTACCTAAACGGTAGCAAGTTGTTTTTTGGTCGATTAAAGATCCAAATGAAGTGAAATCAAAAATATCAATGAAATTTAGACTCAGAGTAAAACATACAACCACCGCTAAGCGAGGGAAAACTGGCGTCGTAAGCCAAGCCTGGATGGCACATTGCTTTCTCCGCGCTTAGTTCTGGTTGGCTCTTTACTTCTGTTGCTAAGAATAACCCATTTTCGTATTCTCAGTATTGAAATGGAGGTTGGAGGTTCATGTGGGGAAATATCATTAGAAAGAGATTAATGTCAGTTGCATTTGAAAAGACTCCCCGCATTAGCCTCGGTTGCAAGCTAGTTCCAGTCCAATACCGAGAATACGAATATGGTCAATTCTGATGGTTCCAATGCTTTCATTGTTTCTTTCGCGCCAAGGGCGGGAAAGATTGATGTTACCGTGTGGCACGAAATTTTTGCCGGAGTTTAATTTTGCGGACCGGCGATTTTTTTGTATCTTGCGGGAACTACGTTTTGCGATTTTCAGAAAGTCCCGTTTCTTTGAAATACAACACTTTCGGTCTCTTTTACTACACCGCTACATGGCAATCAGTCACTCTTTTACAATTACGCCTGCTAGTACCTTCAGACGATCCTTTCCTGTAAACTGCAGCCTTACCTATACATAGTGTACCATGGGCAATTTCATCGTTTTATTTTAAGAGACGTTTTAAATAAATGGCATCAACAAGATTCTACATATGAGGTGTGTAACAATCATTTCACCAGTAGAGTAAATTTTTTTGGGAACAATTTTTACGGGAACTTTTTGGGGGATCGTGAAAAACTACAAAAAATCGCAAAAATTAGAACTCGCAAAAATTTTGTGCCACACGTTAGTTTCATTCCTAAGGGATTGAATATCAGCGTACATATGCTCTTAACTGTTACAGAACTTAGGAGCAGTTTTGTTGATACAAGTACACTTGATCACTTTCGGCAATCTCTGTCATCTGTGTAATGTCTTTCTATCTTTCGTCTTCTCTCTTCCCTTAGGACGTTTTGGCCAACGACGAGTACAAGATTGATTATGGTTTCAAATTGTCTATGGCGATTGATATAGCGGCGGTAACTTGGCTTTTATTTGTCCTTAGACGGGCCTTACTATTATAAGAGAAGAAAACTTATTTTAATTCTGTTCGTCTCCCTTCAGAAGTGCCATGAAAGATGTATGGCTTTAGGCCATGATATTCTCTGCGTGCATCAAAATTTTCTTGTTGAGACGGTGCATTTCAGCTGCGTTGAATTCAAATTCCAGTTCCAGAAACTCCCTTAAATTAAGACAACTGAATGCACAAATAGAAATGTAGTATACGTGCATTCCGAAAGTGTATTGCACAGTATTCGACTACTTCCACCTGACCTACGTGGCAATAGACAGCAATAGACGACAACTAATAAAGGATTTGATTAACTTCAAAATGTTTCTGACGTTTTCTAAAACTGTTTTGCTTTTGTACCTCTTTCAGCCAATCAAATAGCAAGCTAGTTTTTTTTATTACCTTAAAAATCATATCCGTATAATAGTGCTATTTTCTGGGATGAAGCAAACAAGGCGATCTATTTCCAGGTTCAAGAACATTGTAGCCAATCAAACTTTACAGCGTACTTGTTTTGGTAGCTTCTCTTGTCACACCCGACCATAACCTGGAGATATTCGCTTATGTAAACCCGCCGCTTATTGTAACCGTCTTTCAGGGAATGAAATATCTCCATAACACTGCTGTTAAATTCCATGGCAACCTGACCTCCACTCGATGTGTGATTGACAGTCACTGGGTCGTCAAGATCACTGACTGGGGTTTACACGAATTCAAGGCCGGACAGGAGAACACCAAGAAACATCCGAACAAGATGTATGCTGGTACGTTTAGAGTCTGTTCACCAGGTCGTTATGTTTATTAATATTATAACATGTTTATTATTTTATTAACGTGAGGCGCGGCGCTCTGATGATTAACGCGCTCGACTCAGGAGTGAGCGGTCTGCGAGTTCGAGCCGGGGACATTGTGTAAGTGGGTTCATGGCGTTTCTTCGCGAGCGAAGATTTTTTAACAAGGCTTCCTTCCTCTAGAGCAGGCTCGTTGATGCCTGACGAGGCGGCCTATACGAGATAGGCTGGCACTAACTCGCACCAGCGAAAGGAAAGTGAAATGCTTCTAGTCACTTCATGCAGAACAGAAACCGGAGATANGCTGGTACGTTTAGAGTCTGTTCACCAGGTCGTTATGTTTATTAATATTATAACATGTTTATTATTTTATCAACGTGAGGCGCGGCGCTCTGATGATTAACCCGCTCGACTCAGGATTGAGCGGTCTACGGGTTCGAGCCGGAGACATTGTGTAAGTGGGTTCATGGCGTTTCTTCGCGAGCGAAGATTTTTTAACAAGGCTTCCCTCCTCTAGTGCAGGCTCGTTGATGCCTGACGAGACGGCCTCTACGAGATAGGCTGGCACTAACTCGCACCAGCGAAACGAAAGTGAAATACTCCTAGTCACCTCATACAGAACAGAAACCGGAGATAAGCGCCAACCCGATCGCCGGGCGACTAGCAAGCTGCCTACTATTTATTCACGGTTGGTTCTCTAATGACGCATTCATTTCGATTCAATTTTTCAGATCTCTTATGGACTGC